AGGCAGCTACCGCTGTCACAACCATCTCTAAACCAACTAGCTATGCTACATGACTTGTATTCCCTGTACATCAAAAAATTGTCTTTACCAGCTATGTGAAGAGATCGAGAGCACTGCACCGATTACATATTTGTCTACTCATATAAACTACCTTATGCTTAGCGTCCCTCTATGTTCCAATACTTCAAAGTACATACCGGTATGTATTTGGTTATTTGATGTCTTATTCGATACCAAATATTATGTAGTTCTGCACATAAATGGACATTTCACTTCATACTATGTGCGACTAAGCTCTTAGAAGTGCCACTACCTTTAAATGATCATATCATATATGTAAACTAAATTTAATGTGTTGGACAAAAATGCTTGGACTTGACCAGCAACTTGTGGCACTGTCTCTGTATGTGCCAAGAAAAGAAATAGATAAGATAATTGTAATCTTTGAGACCATAGTGCTTGGCTTTCACTAAAGGAGAATTTTTGGAGATAGGATGTGATAGTCTTTAAAACTGGATGTCATGAAAATTATTGATATTACTATTATTGGTTTAGTTGGTTGGTTGGTCTGTTTGTTTTACCTGACTGCCATTAGGCCTAAAAAATTTTTTTTTGTGTATTGCCCTTTAGGTGCTAAAACATGGGTCGGTCAGTCAGATTTTTTTTTTTTTTTATAATTTTTTTTTTTCTTTTTAATTTTTTTTTTTGCCCTCTTTTGGCTGATATTTCTCAGTTTTTAATGCTTTAATACATGTGTTTCAGAGTCATCATTTCATTCACATCTTTTCACCTCATAACAATCCATGGTTTGCAATGTTGTGTTGAGACAACACTCTGTGCTTTCCTGCTGACGAAGTTGGTTTTCAACTACCTGTAAAACTTGCTAGCAATGTGAAGATTGTTTGGAATAATTTGATTTTTAAGTCAAACAAAATACATATTTTGTTATTCATTAATACAAAAAAATTCTAAGAAACGGTATTAAAAAAAAACTTTTTTAAAATGCCGACCGTAGATTTTCAGAATTTGGGGTCGGTCGCAAAGGGCAATACAACAACTTTTTATTTTAGGCCTTATAGAAAGCATGTGTATGCTTGTAAGTAAGCAACCAGGGCACCAACAGTTTTAGGTCCTCTCTGAGGGCCTTGGTAATGAGGCTTAAATCCTTACCGAACTTGGTTCGGACCTGGGACTTCTCGATTACCAGACCACATTATACAGACTTGTGGTCCCCATGTACATTACAAAGACATGTGGTCTGTACAAAGGGTATTGGGACATCAGCCGTGCACGTTCAATAATTGTGCTGCTGAGAATGTTTGCAATGTATAATAAATGTCTGATTTTCTTTATCTCACTTTTTGTCTAGGAATGTAGCCACAAATATATATTATTTATTTAGAATAACATTATGGAGAACTTTCCATATTAAAGTTGTAGTAGGATCTATAATTATCATGATGTGGAGGGAATTAATTATATACATGTACATGTACAGGTAATGACATACTGTCGTGCAGCTAATTACAAGCAGCAGCTTGATGTAATAAATCAAATTCGTAACTAAAAGTTCTTTGTATCACTATATACTGGTGAAGGCAGAGGTAAATCATTATATAGGCCTGCATTTTTAGTATCTTTCTAACAGATTGGTATCCCTATTTGTTATTGCAGGGCTTGACAATGGTGGGTGCCAGGGACACATGGGTGCCTAAAATTCGAGTCTAGACCCCCCAAAAATCAATAGAATACCGATGCTGTGACATCATAAAAATCTATTTTTAGAATTTCTCAATTTTTTCTTCATTTTCCAAAAGAGCATAAAAAATAATGTCCGAATGTTGAAAACCAATTGAATACGTAAAGTATTGGCTGAGATATGACCATCTGAATAAATATATGTCCTATGGGAACTCAGTGTTATAGTGCTCTGGTTCACATTCGGACATTATTTTTGATGCTCTTTCGGAAAATGAAGAAAAAATTGAGAAATTCTAAAATAGTTTTTAGATGACGTCACACTTCACCACTCTATAAAACAGGTCAGCATTGATAATATATCTGATGAATACTGTAGTTTACAAATGTTCTTAGACTTCAAAAATAAGATTTGATTTTTGCAGGTGTAAATATGTCATACAACCTCTGTCAAACATCGCCTGTTCCAATCAACAATGCTTCCTAAAGCTTAGTTTTGTTGCCACTTTCTTTTGTTTTGTACATGTTGTAAATTGAATTAACAAATTAATTTTATCTTTCATATATACTGGCCTATGTATATCTTGTCAAAATGTATAAGATACTTTGTCCGTATGAGAATGAAGAACCACCCTCCTTGAGCATCGAGTACCAGTAGGGGCTGTATTTCGATGGCATGGGTATGCATCCCACCACTGCCACCAGTTGTAGGAGCGATCACTATGAACATGACGGACAAAGAAAGCGGACAAAATATACAGTTCCTCATTCTACCCTCAACAATTGCTGGGGTAGACAAAGGAACATCCCTTCACTGCTATTATGTAAAAAGGTGAATATGTATGTGACACCTGTTCTACACATTTTTACATAGTAGCAGTGAAGGGATGTTCCTTTGTCTTCCACAGCAATTGTTGAGGGTAGAATGAGGAACTGTATATTTTGTCCGCTTTCTTTGTCTGTCATGTTCATAGTGTATGTTTAGTTAGTACTTGGGTCCAATCCAACACAGAACAAAGTAGGTAGGTGTTACTCAGTTGAAGTCTTGTGCTGCAGTAACTAATATTACTGTATAATCAAAAACATCACCATCGCCCTTATAGACGGCTTCATGTTACGTCAAAATCAGTTATGGTATACTTGTTCGAAGCAAGGTTATGAGTATGAAATCCAGTAAAATTGTTCATGAAATGAAAGCGAAATACCAACTTTAATTCCTTCAAGCATTGTTATGAAAGTTATATTATGCATACACATTAAATGTTGGCTATACAAATACAAATACATATGGATTGTGTGTTGAGCTGAAAGATGCAAATTCGTTTTATTGGTGAAATTTTACTCTTCAGCTTTGATAACGGTACTGTAATAAACAGTGCTGTGAATTTGGGAATTATAGTTTAGTTAGAGGCAGGGTATTCTATTGACACTATTCAAATTTAGGTATACTGCCCTCTGTTGCTCACAATGTCCTGAGTGTGCTGACAACCATGTCCCTCGATGCATCACCAACTGTTAGTGTGGATGATGATGCTTGGGTACAGGAACTGGAAATGGCTCTATGTATGCCTTTACCAATTTCCCTTGTAAAAAAAGAACTTTTTGTCCAAATTACCATTCACCATGGTAACAAACATTGAAATTTCATTGTTTGATGACCCTATGTTTATCTTTGTTTGACACCATGGTGGATGGTAATTTGGACAAAAATAACCATGGTTACGGTACCATGGTTCTTTTTTATGATAGCCCAATTGAAAATAAATTGCAGTAGTCAGTGGTGTCGGTAAAATATCCTGTATTTTACCTTTAAGTCAAGGAAGTGTTTATCCAACATTCCATGTTCATCAATGGGCGACAAGAGTAAATATTGATAATTGATATTTGCCATTCACAAGGCTATTTCCTGAACAAATTTTGTCTGATCTGAATATGAAATCATTTCACTTCTGAAGAGAATAAACGGGAGACCAGATTTAATGGACAAATACATGTACTGTTTACCGGTAGTATTTTGCTTAGGCTTGGAATTATCGTCAACATATTGCAGTAATCACTGTAGAGAGTGTAGTCCATAAACATGCACGCTGCTTCATTACATGCAAAAAAAAGAAGAAAAAGGTACATGTGTAATATATAACAGCATTTCCTAACATTTTCATCTGTCAAAGTCTTTTATCAATTGTTCATCAATTCATGCTCAGAAGTATGTAAAAGTGGAAAGTCAAATTTCCTTAGTTTTTATAATTCTTGGTGCATTTCTTGTTCATTCTATATTAATTGTCCAAGATGGACAGTAAAATATATATTTACTAAAATCAAAGATTGATATATTCTGTACAGTGTTTAAAAAAATGTTTGTCAGTGTTGTATTATTTCCCCACTATATCGGTAACTTAAAACTGCATAATTATTTTGAGGTCCTGAGAAATAACAACTATAAAAGTCTGAAAGCAGGCTAGAGCTATATAGCTCCCTCTATACATGTCTTATGACATCTTCAAAGACATGTGACATTACCTTCATGGTACCATATGCTCCATTCCTGAACAGTTCCTGAAATCGATACCATCTTCCGCTGTAAATGTATCCTATTTAATATGTTCATTTAGTATGTGGCACAGAGGCTATATTAATTTGACCCATAACTTCCTTAAAGGTACTATGTCCCTTTTGCAGCCAACCTCAAATTCTGTAGAACTTTACAGGAATTATGAATATGTCGTGTATGTCCTATCTGTGAAATTTAAACGTTAGCAGTGTCCTCATATTCAAATTATGCAAGGAAACCTGTTTACTTGCTAGACTTCACTGTCAGACACTATTGAGTGACTGACTGGCCTTTTTTCTCCTTTGGTAATAACATACATGAAAAGAGTTGTAAAGGGTACATGAGCATTTGTCTACATCAATAACCCACTTCTTGTGATGGCCTCTTAAACTGATTGAATCTTTGCGCAGCATAACATGTATGACCATTCGGTACAATTGTCTGAAAATCAAGACTATTATTTTTCGGCTCTATAGCCCTAAAGTCGATTTTACAACTAATAGTCATTATTTTCCCATTTTCAAGCCCCACCTTTTTTAGGGAAGTTCTAAATAAGCATTATCTTTCAAATGCAGTTGGAATTTAACTTTTTCATTTTTTTGGCCTGCAAATGGGACATAGTACCTTTAAAGAGGCACTCAAAATAGAAACCTTCATGTAGTTAATGGTTTTTTTTACTTGCTGGTTGAAATACTATACATGATATGCAGAATAAAGCAGGACACAGTTAATGAGAGCGCTTCACTTTGAGTAAGCTTATAGGGGGTTATCAGTTTTCATCTTTATTATGTCATTACATTATTGATTACATGTGTCATATACATGTATTTACATGTGTTAATGTACAAAGTTATCAGGCCTTAGCAGAGAAAACCAGTCACCTCAAAGAATAAGTGTAGGTATGCTGAGAGATAATATTTATTCCTGCCTATTGATGTACAATATTCTTTACAACCTTCACCCCAGAAGAGCAAAAATCTATTTATATAATTTTCGTTTCGACAATGGTAGTACAAAAGATAATAGCAGGTGAATTAAATACTTTATCACCACACACACGTGGGGGGAAGGCAACATCCATGAATTGAAACACATATACTTGATATTAACAACTTCACATAGTTCGTCACATATCACGATATTGGCGATGTCCATGTTGTCCTGAGAAACTGAACATTATGCTAAAAACATTATAGTGCTTTTAATATACATGTACCTCTCTCATACTCTTTGGTGGGGAATTTTGTAGATTAATGGGAAAGAATTCAATAAATCTTGCAGAATAACTAAGTTATTTCTTGGGGGGGGGGGGGGGAGTTTACTGGTAGATTTAAGAGATTACAAAACTCTAGAATCTCCCCCTGATCATTGTAACTGTACAGATGTACTATATTTACACATGCTGTCTGACAGTATGTTCTGAATTTTTATATTAGGGATATTATTTTGTTGTAAGCTAGAAAATATATTACACATGTATTCTCATCATGAGAAATACAATCTTTTGGTCACTGGCCTTTTTTATATAATTATGTAACATTACATGTAATCTTGAATTCTGGAGATGAGTAGAAAAAAACATGAGTTCCAACTGAATCCAAATAACTTCCATCAGATATCAAGAGGTAAACAAATAAATCATAACTGCCAAATGAATAAATGCACAGACAATTTGTAATTTACTGGGTAATTGACAAAATTAACTACCGGTAGACACGAGGGAAATGAGAGGCTTGATAAAACCAACAAGAATAAATCATCTTTTATGTTCATGTACCCTTGTAGATACATGTGCTGTCTGCTTTTAATCAAGTTTCACCATTTTATACCTTTATACCTTTATACTTTCAGAATAGCTTCAACAGTTTCTGTCCAAATTCCCCAAACTTTAATTTCTATATTGAACAATATTTTCATAGTGCATGTATTTTATTCTGTACAAAACAATTGTTGGGCAGATTTTATAACTCATATTGTTGAAAATGGGTGTAAACCTACTTGGCTTTAAACATGAACAACATACCAGCAACTAATATTCGTCATGCAAATAAGTGAATATATAATCATCCTGAAAATGTCTATTATTATGGTCAAAGGATATACTGGAATAAGTAAAATCATTTATCGACCTGACCTGACTTTCTTACATATTGATCCATAAGAAAATATGGGCAAAACTTGATAAACAGTAAGAGGTATATAATGTACTATAGTTAAACCAGAAAAATTCGGGTGCATGAATATTTGCTTATATTATGACTGCTTCAGACTCACAAAAGTTTCATGTCATGGACACTTTTACACAACACTACTTTTTGTGTTTTCAGTGCAAGAATTTCTTGCTTTGAAATAGGGCATTTTCGAAATGTAACAAAATGATTTAATTCAGCTGTTATAAATAAGTATATCTCAATATGTAGTCAGAATTCAAATTGCATACATTAGTTATGCTAGGAAGGACAAAGAAAAAGAAAAGTATGGCTTGTCCTACCTAACAACACATAGGATATATTTACATTCTGACTACCGGTATTGAAATACAATTATTTGTACTAATCACGTACTAATTGAAATGATTTGTTTTGAGGCATACCTAAGTACAAATTTGGTTACATTACGAAAATGGTCTATTGGTCATCCTTGTAAACAATGACAATTCTTTGATCTTCCAAAAGTTTCTGGTTGTTAGCCCCCCAAAACAAAAAAACAAACAAAACACACTTAATAGGTGATCGATGCCAGCAGCCAGTTCTTTATCAAGCAGTAGTTGCTTCTTGGAGAGCTTTTTCTAGAGCCTCTGCCTCCTCAAAGGATATATCCATCTCGTCAAACTCCGCTTCAGGATCTGTCTTCACCTTGGCCTGTGAGGGCGCTGTTGATGGTGACTGGGAATTATTTTGTGACGGTGTAGAGGCGTAACGCGAAACTGGTTTTCGGTTCGATGGGGTTGAGGAGAAACCTTTAACACAAGAGGAAAACAGGGAGAGGAAAATAAAAGATGGTTTAATATCGGCGTCAAGGCTGTATACATTTTTAGTTTTAAATCATCTTTTTTAAGGTCTACAAAGAATACAAATTGTATACAGAATACAAATTGTATACAGAAACAGATTAAACAGGATTATATAACAGACATAGAATGATTGAAAAATGAAAAAAGAAATGACAAGTAGGGAGAAAATAACTTTTTCAAATACATATAGGGCCGGGAGAATTGTATCTCATCCAATGGAGCTAATGTTCTTGTAACATAACAAAAAGTTCAAGTATAAATTCATTTATTCAGAGAAAAAATATAAGGAACAAATGTCAATTGCTTCTCTCTTAAGGCCATTTGAAGAAGAAGAAAAAAAAAAACATGTTAGCGTCCTGCATAGGAAGGAGGAGGCCCTTTTTTTTCTTTCCAAAGTAGCAGCTCGGTACATTTTCCCTGATAGTCGGGCTATTTTTCAAGATCAACGCCGGCATTTTTTTTTTTTTTAAAATCAGATTTTGTTAGCAGTATGTTTTTCATGTTTTTATTCATTTAAAAAAAAGGGGGAGGCGGCCCCCAAAAAGGAAGCGGGCGGGGACGCTATTAAATCATGATTTTGTTTTATACTGACATTGAGCAGAAAACACTGCTTTGAGATCCATAACTTCTAGCTACTATGTAGTGATATTCAACTATATCTTTTCACACTGGTTTTGCTTAACCCCGTACTTAATTTGCTTAGCCCCGTACTATCCTTAACCCCGGACTATTTTTTTGGCTTTTCACACTCGCTGTTTTTAGTCCCGTACTATACAGTGTGTCTCTAAAAAAAGTAAACCCAACTTCAACGGCAAATTTTCAGAAAACTATAAAATATTTACACATTATTTTTTATGGTTAGATAGTCCAATAAGTCCTCTGTCCAATGATACCACGTATGTTATGTAACTCTCATGCATGACTGAGCATGATTCAACTTAGTGAATGGGTGTGAAATCATCACTGTGGCAAGTTAGAATTGCACTGGAAGTTCATCAATCAAATGACATAGGAAATGTCTGATTTCTTACAAGCATAGCTTAGGGATGTGTACCCTCGACATGACCGCCATTCCTTTCCATGCAAAGCTCGCAACGCCTCCTCATGTCCCTGACAGCACGCCTGATCATTCCCTGATCTTGTCGTAATCGGTTCACTTCACCTGTTATCTGTTGCCTCAGCTCCTGAATTGTGGCCGGTGGGGTTTGGAACACTTTTCCTTTAAGATACCCCCAAAGAAAGAAATCGCATGGTGTCAGATCTGGTGAACGTGCAGGCCACTCAACTGGGAAATGAAGAGCAATGATGCGATTGCCAAAGAGTTCAGTCAAACGATTCCTCACAGCAATAAGTCTGTGGGCTGGGGCCCCATCCTGAGCCCACCAGGCCCTGCGGAATGCTCCACGTCGTTGTCAGGGGAAGATCTGTTCCATCTCAGGCACAATAAAATTGTTCAGCATGTCAAGGTACGCCCTGCCATTGATGTTGCCTTCAAAAAAGTAAGGTCCCACCAATGAACCATTGCCACAAAGACCAATCCAGACACTCACTTTCTCCCTGCTCATGTTCTTATTAATATATCCCGGTGGATGATGGAGTTCAGCATACTCGTGCTCATTGTGGGTGTTTACCATTCCATCCATGGAAAACGTTGCTTCATCCCCGATGGTAAAAAACTGGAGGAACTGTCGATCTCGGTTGCACCGGTTCACAAACCATTGTGAAAATTGAAGTCGTCTGGGAAAATCAGCTGGTAGAAGTTGGTGCTGAACATGAACATGATATGGATGGAGATGCAAATCCAGTCTTGCTATTCTGTTAAAAGTTGCGCGTGGTATTCCAGTATCATTTCTCCTGGTGCTTATGCGTGGGTTGGCTTGGATGGCCTCTCTTACCACTTGGATGTTTTCAGCAGACCTCCCAGTTCGTCTGTGGCCAGAGTGTCCTTTATTCCTGTTCAAACTGGTTCCGTGATCAGCATACTTTCTCACATTGTACCAGATGGCTCTTTTTGTTGGAGGCTGCCTCTCGGGGAACTGCACCCGAAAAGCATCTTGAACTTCCACGAAACTTCTTGTTTCCTGGTATCGAGTTACCAGGAATACTCTCTGCTCAATTGTCAACTGTACCATGTTTGGAAAGCATGTGAAGTGTGCCTGTGTTAGGAACAACCTTTGCTGAAGTTGTTATGTAATCATAGGCCTAACATGTGACAAAGATTTAACTTCAAATAGGCCCTGAATGCATGACAATAGCAAGAAATAACTTGCCACAGTGATGATTTGACACCAGTTCACTAAGTTGAATCATGCTCAGTCATGCATGAGCGTCAGATAACCTAAGTGATATAATTGGACAGAGGACTTATTGGACTATCTAACCATGAAAAAATAATGTGTAAATATTTTATAGTTTTCTGAAAATTTGCCGTTGAAGTTGGGTTTACTTTTTTTAGAGACACACTGTATAGCGCCTATTCCGGAATAAGAAAATTCCCGCTGTTCTCACTGCATTTCGTTAACCCCAGATATCGTGTATGTTATGATTGGACATACTTCGCATCTGGCCAGCTGCGATACGCTCCATTGCGTAGTACCGGACTATTTTTCGTTTCTGTTCTCATTCATTTGCTTAGCACCGCAATTGCGGGGTTAGCAGGAGTTAGCACCACAATTGCGGAGTTAGCCCTGCTATTTTGCAGGGTTATTATAACCCCGTACTATAGGTGGGGTTAGCCAACTTTAGCCCACTTTGGTAAAAACCAGTCTGAACAGAGAGTGGAATAGGCTTAACCCCGTACTATAGGTGGGGCTAAGACCCCCCCCCCCCCCCTTAACCCCACCTATAGTACGGGGTTAAGCAAAATATTGCCAGTGTGAAAACAGTAATATTCGCCATTCCGACATTATATATTGCTTAGGGTTCATCGAGAAGTCAAATTGGGTAGAACGTTCCCATTAAAATGGTCTTCCCGGAAAATATCGGGAGTCATCGATTGAACCATTTTGAAGAGGGAATATCACAATTGACGTCCTGTTTACCAACCATTCAAATGCGCGCTATTTGTCTCCTCGGATAGAAACAATCACAGAAATCTGGCATAATTTGATCGGTCTTTCCTAATTCAATTCACAACGAGGTTCTATTAAAAAACAGAAAATGAGTTATCCGATATAATCTTCCCTACTCCGCAATGGAATGTCCAATAAACAAAGCCCCCCACACACCACTTCCGGTTTTCACGAATCGGTGGTGTGTGTCGCCAAACGTCACTCATAACGGCTCATACAAGCTAGCTTCAGCGAAGCCGGAGCGGAGGCGACACCGTGCGACTGTACACAAGGGGTACGATATACTGGAATGTGTTGCTGTACGGCGGTTGAAAGACTCGAGTTTTATTGGTTCATTCAACTTCATTGTTTATTCCAAACGATCATCGACATAATCGCTTGAAGCTAAGAATAAAATAAAACACAGCTGAAAATCGTAAGTATATGACAACATTCATCAAGAGTTAAATTCATGTGTATTTGTTTTTGTCTTTTTGTTTTTATTTGACCTGCATTTCTATTCTAGGATTGTCAGTTAGCTTTAGCGGACCTCTCTTCAACTATGAACGGGAACACACGGCCAACTTTCTGCCGGTGAGATGTTGACTATCAGAAATGCAATTATACTAGAATTTCCAGAAATAATCGTTATGATCCAAAATTTACTGTGTATAATTCAAACGTGTTCTTATCTGTAAAATGATCGGCTATATGACTTCTTTCCTAATACTCGTTCGTTGGTCGTAAGACAAAATTTGATAGGTAAATTTAAAAAAATGTATTCAAGCACCAAAAATTTCTTAAGCATATTCTCTCCATTCTAGTAATGCTTTGTTTAGCTTGCTTGTAAGTTAAATACAATTCGTAACATTTGTAAGAAACCCCAAGACATCGATCTGATTTGGGCTCACTTTATTGAAGCCTTCTCTTCTCTAATCGTTGTAATTGTAGCCTGATTAATGAGTGTCCTAAACTAGGGGCTTTCACATACGTATACTTTGGGGCCCGTACAGTAAAAACAGACATTTGGGTAATTTTTAACTGGTGCCGAGCCCGGGTCATTTTTCACCAGCTGTAAGCGCACAGGCACCATAGTGTTGAGTTGGCTGCTCCCAATTCTCCCTTTGTTTGCATATGACAGTTAGGCTGTAGAAAGCCTGTACCTTGCGGGCTGTCAACGGGCTCCTCACAATTTTTTCTGTCAATTCTCAATGTACAACGCAGCTTTAAATACAGGAGGCGCAGATTTTAGAGGACACATAGTTCAGTGCACCGCACGGAACTAAGCCAGGCGCCTTGACAACCCCGGGAGCCATGGGGTGCACCTGTTAATCGGACGAAGCGCTTACCGGCCGGCACCCTTACGGGCAACTTGCATTTTCACTGGACCAATTTTAGTCCTGTACGGTCTCTAAAATCCATGGCAATCCGCCGGGTAGGGAAGATTGTATGGGGAGCGGTGTATTTGTGACCTACATGCAGGCATTAGATTCACTGGCAGTTACAAACTAAGTAGAGCACAGGTTCATGCTGTACTTTGCACAACTTTTGCCAATCTCGGCCAAGAGCCAAATCTAAAATTCCTGTTAGTCTGTTGACTTCCGTAATACATGTACATGTCTATTTCAGCTTCATTCCAGTATAGAGGGTTAAAGTGACATCCAACCTTACAGACAGCTTTAAGAGAGAGGTACTTGAGAAGTTGAGATCCAGCTTCGTTAAACTATTCTTTTTAGCTGCACAGTTCTTTGTATGCCTTTTATTGAGTCACTATATACACCTGCACATCACCTACATCAGTAAGAGAAAACACCCAGCGGTGGCCTGTACATATAGGCCTACTTATAGCTAAGAAGAAGAAGCAGTGAAAAAAATACACGGGGGCTCGGGGCGAAT